TGCCTTTTCCTCCTCTGACGCTTGCTTCGTGGCGACCTGGTGATGCCGATCGCCTGCGACTTCGTAACGGGCTTCGCGCCGCTGGCCGCCCTGCGGGAGTGCGGCCGCAGGCCGTCCAGCCGCAGTGCGAGGTGCGGGAGCCCAGCGCATCGGGCGCGACACAATGCGGCCAGCCGCCTGTACTCCTCCTCCTCCTCCTCCTCCTCCTCCTCCTCCTCCCCCTCCTCCTCCTCCTCCTCCTCCTCGTAGTATTACTCTTTTTAGTATTATTGTTAGTAGTATTATCACTTGCCTTATTATTCGTAGTAGCATTATCATTGTTACGATTATGCGTAGTATGAGTAGTCTTCTCGTTATTCTGATAATTAGTTTTCGCATTAGTAGTATTATCGTTAGCATGCGCATTCTTATTCTTCGTATACATAGTACGTGTAGCCTTCGTAGTATTAGTATGACACTTATTATGGTTATGAGTATCCTTCTTAGTATTATCAGTACTATTGTTAGTAATAGTCTTCTTCTTATTATTAATTAAAATAGATGTATTATTAGTGTTGTTACTCTTATTGTTTCTCTTGTTCCTCCTCCTCCTCCTCCTCCTCCGCCTCCTCTTCCTCCTCCTCCTCCTCCTCCTCCTCCTCCCCCATACCTCTTCTTGATAGATGACTCCCTCCTGTCGCACCCCCAGACGTGTCGCTAGGGCGGCCTGGGCGTTTCGCCTGAGATTTCGTCACCATGTATAATCCCGAAGCCTGAAATCCCACCAGCTCTCTGGCTCTGGGCGTAGGTGGTCTAGGGCGGCTGCTCTTCCAACCCCCCTCTTCCCTTTCGGGGAGGGGTTACCCCTCCTCCCTACCCCCTCCCCTGGACCTGGACAGGGGTGGTCGCGGGTAGGTGGAGCGTCCCGGATGGCCCAAGATGGCTCCAAGAGGACTTCAGAGAGCCCGAAGTGACATCCAGGATGGCTCAAGATGGCCCAAGATGCACCAAGATGACTTCCAAACTACTCTAAGAGGCCCCAAGATCGCTCCAAGACGGCTCCCAGTGGCCACGGAGCGCCCCCAGGAGGCCGCCAAGAGGCCAACATCCTTGAAAAATCTTCGGGAAATCAATGAATGTTGCCTTCTCGCCTCTTTGCTTTCAAGGCCTTCCGAGGCCTCAAGACGGCTCCAAGAGGGCCCCAGAGGGCCCCAAGAGGGGCCCAAGAGTGGCCCAAGAGAGCCCCAAGAGCGCCCAAGAGCGCTCCAAGAACGCCCCAATAGGGGCCCAAGAGGCGATTACAGGCACTGAGGCTTATTGGAGCTCCTCCTCTGCTTGTATCGATCTCCTCCAAGATGGTCCGAAGAGCGCTCTCAAGGCACCCAAGAGCGCCCCAGGAGAGCCCCAAGAGGGGACCAGGAGGCCCCAAGAGGCGCCCGAAGGGCCTCCCAGAGGCTCACAAGAGACTCCCAAGAAGCCTCAAGAGGACATCCGACGCACCCAAGACGCTCGAAGAGGCTCCCTGGGCGCCTCGCCTGGGCATCGTTTCTGGATGGGCTTGTGGAGTTACGCGAAGCGTCCATAATTCGCAACAGCTCCACAGATGAGGGCGGTGCGTTACCGAAATGTGGCTCTGGCCTCAACGCACTGCACATGTGTCAATTACAGCGATGTCAAAGATGGAGAGCGGGTCGTTTTCAATGTGTGGCTGTCGCCGTAACGCCGCGCACATTCGGCTTAAACGGCTGCAGCAGTTTCAAAAATGGAGGGCATTTCCTTTTCGAAATTCGGTTCTCGCCTCAGTGCCGCACACGTTTGCCTGAAACGTTTGCAACAGTTTCAAACATGAAGCGCGGCTCCTTCTTCAAAATGCAGTTATCGCCGCGGTGCCCCTCACCTTCGTGTTAAAAGAGTGCAAAGGCGTCAATGATTAGGGTCGGCTATGTTTCAAAGCGTGACGCTCACCTCAGCGCCGGACACATTCGTCGTACAAGTTCGCAGGCGCATCAAGAACGGACGACAATTCCGTTTCGCAATGTGGCGTTCGCCCCAGCGTCGCGCACATACGTCTCAAAGTTTACAACAACTCCTAAGATTCGTATGGCTGAAGTCCTGGGAATTGCGACCTGTCGCGAGTAAGGATTCCCAGGACGCAATTGTGACGTTGACCCGCTGCTCTCAAGTCCCAGGGGTGACGATCTGGCACGATTTACGATTGTCAGGGCGCGACAGCCACGTTGGCCCGAAGTGTTCGAAATCCGAGGCATGCGTGCGAGTAAGACTCATGATTGCCAGGACGCACCAGTCATTTTGACTCGCGGCGGTGAGGTCCAATTCCCCCATGAAATGAAATAACAATAGGGGCTTATGAAGAGGGAACTTAGAGGGAGGGTGTATTACAGCATCGTGGACGCGTCTTCATCATCATCATCATCATCATCATCATCATCACCATCATCATTATCAGCATCATCATCATCATCATCATCGTCATCATCACCATCATCATCGTCATCAACGTCATCAACATCGTCATCATCATCAGCATCATCATCACCATCGTCATCACCATCATCATCAACTTCGTTACCATGATCATCCTCAAAAGCAGCAGCATCCGCATCCTGACCTTCCGCAATAATCGTCATCACCATCATCCAAGCCACATCATCATTATCATCATCACCACCATAAGCATCATCATCATCATGATCAACAGCATCACAGCAGCAGCAGCACCGTAACATTCCCCATCATCATCAGCATCCTCATCATCACCATCATTATCAACAAGAACAACAAAAACATCATCAACATCGACATCTCTCTCGTCGTCATCACTATCAGCACCCCCATAACAAGCATTACATCATCAATAAATTCCTCATCATCATCCTCACCCATCACCATCCTCCCTCCCCAATCACCATCACCACCATCACCGTCGAGCATCATTAATCATCATCATACGCATCCCCATCCGCATCCTCATCCTCATCAACATTACCATCATGATCAAAAACAGCACCCTCATCCACTAAATCATCATCCTCGGCGACATCATCATCATCAGCATCATCATCACCAACAGCATCATCATCATAATCAGCAGCAGCAGCCGAAGCAGCAGCAGCAGCATCAAAATCATCACAATCATCGTCATTATCAGCATCATCATCATCATCATCATCATCATCATCATCATCATCATCATCATCATCATCATCGACATCAACATCAGCATCAACATCATCATCAGAATAATCGTCAGCTTCATCATCATCATCAGCAGCATCATCCACACGAGTCGTCATCATCGGCCATCGTCATCACCGCCATCGTCATCATCATCATCATCATCAGCAGCAACCGCAGCATAGATAGCATCATGATCATCCGCCATCATCATCACACCCCCCATACCCACTCAGCATCATCATCATCAACATATTCATCATAATCATCGGTCGCAGCAGCAGCATTACCGTCATCATGATCATCATCATCATCATCACCATCATCATCATCATCATCATCATCATCATCAGCATCATCATCGTCGTCATCGTTATCATCAGCAGCGACACTAGAAGCACAATAACCCATCATGATCGTCAGCATCCCCATCATCATCAACATCATCCGCATCACCACCATCATCAGCATGATGATCATCAGTATTATCATCATCAGCATTGGCACATCATCATCACCATCACCATCGACACCATCATCATTATCATCATCATCATCATCATAATCATCATGATCATCAGCATCATCATCGTCGTCATCATTATCCCGTCATCAGTATCGCCATGAGTCTCATCATACTCATCCGCACCATTGCCATACATCATCATCAGCAGCAGCATCATCGGCATCGGCGTCATCATTACCATCCTCACCCATCACCATTCGTACCAGCCTCATACCCACCCCCATCATCAACATCAACATCATCGTCATTAGCACCATGGTCATCATTAGCATCATCACCCATCGTCAGCATCATCATCAACCTCATCCTCCTCGCCTTCATCAACAGGAACATTCTCATCGCCCATCGTCATCACCATCACCATCCCATCATCCTGAGTAGCATTCGCATCGTCATCCTCACAACCATCAATCACCACCATCCCTCCCCGATCATACTTACCACCATCATGTCCCAGTACTGTTACCAGTGTAATCCTCATTATCGTCAGCATCATCACCAGCATTATCATCAGCATCCGCATCGTCATCATCATCATCATCAACATCAACATCATCATCATCATCATCATCATCATCATCATCATCATCATCGTCGTCGTCGTCATCATCATCGTCATTGTCGTCGTCGTCATCATCGTCATCATCCTCATCATCAGCATCGTTATCCTCATCCTCGTCATCATCATCAGCAGCATCATTATCATATCACCATCTTCATCGTTATCACCATCGTCACGTTCATCACCTCTTTTTACTACGCATCTTCACCCTCATTCCCAGCATCATCGTCATCCTCATCAGCATCACAATCGTCACCATCATTGCCATCATCATCGTCAACCCCCCCATAGTCGTCATCATCATCACCATCATCATCATCAACCCCCCCATAGTCGTCATCATCATCACCATCATCAGCAGCAGCAGCAGCCGAAGCAGCAGCAGCAGCAATATCATTCCCACCATCGCCCATCATCGTCATCATCATCAGACTCATCCTCATCGACATCATCATCATCATCGTCATCATCGTCATCATCAGTATCATTATCATCATCATCATCGTCGTCATCATCGTCATCATCATCATCGTCATCATCATCATCCTGAGCCTCATCATCATCATGCCCCATCATCATCATCAGCAGCATCGGCATCGTCATCATCCTAAGCCTCATCATCATCATGCCCTATCATCCTTAGCCTCGGCCCTATCATGCACTATCACCATCATCATCGACATCATCATCATCATCGTCATCATCGTCATCATCAGTATCAGTATCATCATCATCATCGTCGTCATCATCGTCATCATCGTCATCATCATCATCATCGTCCTCCTCCTCGTCTTCATTTCCATCTTCACCCAAGCATCATCATCATCATCACATCATCATCGTTAGTGTCATCATCCTCATCCTCAGAATCCTCCATCAGCATCCTCGACCGTCCAGCGGTATCATGATGAGCTTCATCACAATCTTCAGCCTCATCATCATCATCATGCCCCATCATCCTCAGCCTCGGCCTGTATAAGCAGCGTCAGCATGATCAGCAGCAGAAGCATCATCATCATCATCATCGTCGTCATCGTCATCATCATCATATTCCTCCTCGTCCTCCTCCTCTTCTGCATGCCCACCCTCATCCAAGTATCATCATCACATAATTATCGTTAGTTTCATCATCATCCTCCGCAGAATCCTCCATCAGCATCCTCGACCGTTCAGCATTATCATGATGATCTGCATCATCATCCTCAGCCTCAGTATCATCAGCATGCCCCATCGTCCTCAGCCTGAGCCTGTACAAGCAGCGTCAGCATCATCGGCAGCAGAAGCATCATCATCATCACATCATTATCAGTAACATCATCAGTATCATAGTCATGTTCGTCATCATCATCATCATCATCATCATCATCATCATCATCATCAGCATCATCATCATCATCATCATCATCATCATCATCATCATCATCATCATCTTCCTCCTCGGCCTCCTCCGCTTCGTCATGCCCATCCACATCCAAGTATCATCATCATCATCATCATCACCTCATCATCGTCAGTGACACGATCCTCATTCTCATAATTCTCCATCATCCTCGACCGTCCAGCATTATCCTGGTGATCTTCATCATAATCCTCAGCCTCATCATCATCCTAATCATCAGCATCATCATCGTGCCTCATCATTATCAGCCTCGGCCTGCATAAGCAGCGTCAGCATGATCAGCAGCGGAAATATCATCATCATCACCATCACAACATCATCATCAGCATCATCATCGTCGCCATCATCCTCATCATCATCATCATCATCATCATCAGCATCATCATCATCATCATCATCATCATCATCATCATCATCATCATCATCATCATCATCATCATCTTCCTCCTCGTCTTCCTCCTCGTCTTCCTCCTCTTAGTCATTCCCATCCTCACCCAAGTATCACCATCATCACATCATAATCGTCAGTGTCATCAGTCGCATCCTCAAAATCCTCCATCACCATCCTCGACCGTCCAGCATTGTCATGATGAGCTTCATCATCATCCTCAGCCTCATGATCATCATCATCATGCCCCATTATCCTCATTCTCAGCCTGTACAAGCAGCGTTAGCATCATGCTCAGCAGTAGCATCATGTTCATCATCATCACCCTCATCATCATCGTCGACATCATCCTCATCATCTTCATCATCAGCATCATCTCCCTCCTGGTCCTCCTCCCCTATCCCCATCCAAGTATCATCAGCATCACATCATCGTCAGTGTCATCAAACTCACCCTCAGAATCCTCCATCATCACCATCATGATGATCGTCATCATCATCCTCAGCCTCATCATCATCATGCCCCATCTTCCTCAGCCTCAGCCTGTATAAGCCGCGCCAGCATCATCAGCAGCAGAAGCATCATCATCATCACCACCACCCTCATCATCATCATCATCATCACACTCGTCCTCCTCCTCTTCTTCATTCCCAGCCTCATCCAAGTGTCATCATCATCACATCATCATCGTCAGTGTCATCATCCTCAGCCTCAGCCTATATAAGCCGCGTCAACATCAGCAGCAGCAGAAGCATCAGCATCATCACCACCATCATCATCATCGTCATCATCATCATCATCATCATCATCATCATCATCGTCATCATCATCATCCTGAGCCTCATCATCATCATGCCCCATCATCATCATCAGCAGCATCGGCATCGTCATCATCCTAAGCCTCATCATCATCATGCCATATCATCCTTAGCCTCAGCCTGTAAAAGCAGCGACAGCATTATAATCACCACCATCATCATGCCCATAATAGTCAGCATCAGCATCACCATCATCATCATCGTCGTCATCATCGTCATCATCAGCATCATAATAATCATCATCATCATCATCATCCTCATCATCATCAGCATCATCATCATCTTCCTCCTCGTCCTCCTCATGTTCTTCATTCCCATCCTCATCCAAGTACCATCATCATCACATCATCATCGTCTGTCATCATCCTCAGCATCACAATCCTCCATCATCATCCTCGACCGTCCAGCATTATCATGATGATCTTCATCATCATCCTCAACCTCATCATCATCATGCCCCATCATCCTCAGCCTCAGCCTGTATAAGGCGTCAGCATCGCCTTTTTTTCGATCTCCTTTCCAACCTCTCCTCGTCGCACGCCGCGCTCGACAAAACGCCGACAGGAGCATCAGCAGCAGGATCATCATCATCATCATCACCACCACCACCACCACCACCATCATCATCATCATCATCATCATCATCATCATCATCATCATCATCATCATCATCATCATCATCGTCATCATCGTCATCATCATCGTCTTCCTCGTCCTCCTCCTCCTCCTCCTCTTCATTCCCAGCCTCATCCAAGTATCATCATCATCACATCATCATCGTCAGTGTCATCATCCTGCAAGCCCGACCGTCCAGCATTATCATGATGATCTTCATCATCATCCTCAGCCTCATCATCATCAGCATCAGCATCAGCATCATCATCATCATCAGAATCGTCATCATCATCATCATCATCATCATCATCATCATCATCATCATCATAATCGTCATCATCGTCATCATCGTCATCATCATCAACATCATCATCACCATCATCAACCGCCTCCTCCTCATCACCCTCCTTCTCAACCTCCCCCTCCCCCTGCAAGCCCTCCTCCGCCTCCCGAGGCCCTGAACGCCTGGCGGCCCCGGCCTGCATCGAGAGCCGCAGCCCGCGGAGCAGCAGCGGCGACGCGCCGCACTTCCTCGCCTGGTGAGCATCGTTTAGCCGACGGGCGTGGTCTGGGCCCCACGGGCCAATGTACCCCCACAGCTGGGGACATAGGCTGTCCCCTTCGGGTTTCGAGGGGCAGATGCCCACCTGGGTTGGTGGGATGGTGGGGATCAGGATCGGGATGGAGACGGTGATAGGGATCGGTTAAACGATGCTGACCTCAGGTCGGGCCTGTCCTCCTACAGGGGGGACAAAAAATTGAAAATAGTCCAAAAATTTCCCCCCTAATGGTCAAAAAGACAATTTTTACTATTTTTGGAGGGACAGACCCGATTTAATGCTGACCTTGGCCACCATGGCTTGCCCACGGTTCTGGGAGAAAGGCTCGGGGAGAGCGGGGCGCAAGTCGGCGGCGCGCCAAGGGGGGGACACCCTCGGATCTGGGCGCGTCAGTTTTTGTCGCACCCGTCGGCTTCGCCCGTCGTCGGACCCCCGGATGCGGGACGGGAAAATGACCACAACCACTGTTTCGTGTTTGCGCCGCCTTCCAGCCGGCCGAAAAAGAAGCAGTGGTTGTGGCCATCTGCCTGGTGCCAAGTTTAACGAAAATGACCACAACCACTGCTTTGTGTCTGCTGGCTGGAAGGCGGCAAGAGAAGAAAAGCAGCGGTTGTGGTCCTTTTCCCGTCCCGTACGGGACCATCACAGATCGATCCAGCTCGAAGAATGCCGCAGGCAGGTTGGGCTTAGAGATCGAGTCGTGATGTTTGGCGATGTGCCAATCTTTTCGCGACGTCGAATATCAGGGATGGCAGAGATGGGGCGGGCCTTCTCAGAAGGCGTAGAGCCTCCTCCGAGGCCACGGGCTCCTCAGAATAAGGAGGAAAAACGACATAAGCACAAACTGTTGTCGCTCCGCGCGGAGTTCTTGGATCTGCGCTGGACCCCCTCCCTGCGCAGGAGGCGCTGCCGGGGGTGCCCAGCGCGGATCCAGGAAATCCGCGCGGAGCACCACAAGTTTATGTCTATCGCGTCTTTTTTCTTCTCCGACAGTGGGCAAAAGGGCTTCCCAGAGCCCGCGCCGCCTTCCGAGAAGGCCCGCCCCTTCTCGCGCTCCCCCCCTCGGCGCACCGCCGACGGACGCGAGGGGCGCGCGCGCGCGCAGAGGGCGGCCCGCGCTGCCTGACCCAGCACGGGGGAATAAAAAGGAGCAGAAGGAGCAGGAGGAGGAGGAGGAGGAGGAGGAGGAGGGGAAGGAGGAGGAGGAGGAGGACGGAGGAGGAGGAGGAGGAGGAGGAGGAGGAGGAGGAGGAGGGGAGGAGGAGAAGGAGGACGGAGGAGGAGGAGGAGGAGGAGGAGGAGGGGGAGGAGGAGGAGGGGGGGAGGAGGAGGAGGAGGAGGAGGAGGAGGAGGAAGAGGAGGAGGGGGAAGAAGATGATAACGAGGAGGAGGAGGAGGAGGAGGAGGAGGAGGGGCCAGGTGGCTCACACCTCCCCGCCGCGCGCCCGTCCCCTCCGCCTGCGAGATCTTTCCTGCCTTCTCCCCCCTCCACCCTCGCCCCCTCTAGTGAACTGGCTGGGGGGGGGCATCTCGCCAGCACCCGGGCGGGCTGTCACCCCCCGTTTGGAAGCCACCGAGCTGACGGGGAAAGCCGAGGCAATGCAGTGACTGCAGGGGGGGGGCGAAGGCCCGCCGGCCCCAGCTGGGCCAGGCGGAGCCGCCAAGCCTCCGCCGTGGGAGGCCCTTGCAACCCCGGCGGGCCCGAGAGATCCCAACAAGGGAGGGGCGACCAGCGCCCCCGGGAGGGAGGGCAACCAAAGCCGCCCTGTTGCGGCCGCCCCACCCCGCGCGCGGGGCGGCGGCCGCGCGCGTGGCGCCCCCAGGCCCTGCGGGAGTGGAGGGGGGCTCGGCGCAACTGGCGCGAGCGGCCACCGCAGGTCCCTGTGAGAGGCGCCTCCGCCTCGTCGTTGCGCTGGTGTCTGGTGGTGGGCCGACAGGCGGGGAGGGGCCAACGGGCCGGCCAAGCGGGCACCCACCAAGACCTCCGACAGCGTGACGCTTTCACGGCGCAGTTTCCCGGAGACCTGGGCCTGTTCCCCAGGGGCCTCCCCAAAGAGGCCGAGAATGGCCAAAGACCCGCCGCCGCGACCTGTTTACACGACAAAAACGGGCGAGCACCCAGGGACGGCCACTGACCTCTCGGATCGCAGTCGCCCCGCGACCGCCGCAGCGCAGCCAAGGCCCCGCCAGGGCGCGCGTGAGACATGCACAAACGAGCGGCCACTGCCGGACCCTGGGAGCACAGCGCCTGGCGGCAGGGGAAATCAAGCCGAGCAACCACTGGGCGAGATCGGGGCCCGAGGCCGCAAGGCCAACCTGCCAAGAGCGGCTGCGCCATGCAGAGGGTGGGGGGGTAATCAGGAATCAACTCCTGGGAGGCCTTCGCAAGACGGACCAATGGCTACCAAACAGGATTCAAGGGCAACTGAAACAGACCAGGCCAAATGAAGCTGGATTGAGCGGGGGCGAGCGGAATTCAGGGGGACTGTGCCCGATTGGGCTGGCTGTCGACCACGGTTATGTTCTCTTACCGCCTGCACGGTGCCTGGGGAAGATTGCATCCTGTCCTGGAAAAAACAACTGTTGTGCAGGCTGCGCACCCAGTCTCGCAGGCGCGCGTGTAGAGGCACACTTCCGGCTGCCTCGCGCTTCCTCCTCACTGCGTTGCTGCTCCGCCCCGCCGCCCGCGGGCGCCTGGGACGCTTCGCCCGCCGCCTCCCGCCCAACCTCTCCCCGCCCCCTGGCCACCGGGCCTCGGGCGGTCACTCCGCAGTACCCCTGTCACTGCCGGCCATCTGGCCGCTGCTCCTGCCTCCACGCGGTTCCGCGGTGTGCCTTTTCCTCGGTGCGCCCCGGTACGCCGCTCGTGGTGTCCCACTATGCCCCCCGCCAGCTCCAGCCGCTGGCCGCCGCTCCCCGCCACCCTTGCCACTGTGGTTCGCCACGGCCGCCCACCGCGCTCCGGCCCTGCGCGCCTTGCTGCTACTGCCCTCCTGGCTGCTCATCGGCTCATCGTCGAACTCTTCGGCGTCCGAGCGCCCCTTCTTCCTCTCGGCCGTCCCCCCCTCCCGCCTTGCTCGCAAGCTAATTCGCTAGTTAGTGCATGGTTTCTCGCTGGAGCGGAGGTCGCCGCCTCGCCGTTGACGGAAAAAATGTACAGGCACACTGCTCGAGCAAGGCGGCGCGCGTGCTCCGCCTGTGGCTCAGTGGCTACCAGATACTGCTTTGAGGAAGGATGGATACCGAGCAGAGCGCTGCGCACCGTGCAGGAGCGTTTTATCATGATCGACAACGTAAGGCCGCACTCGGGGCGACTGACGGCTACTCGGGGTCAGGTCTCCCCTCGGAGTGTCCTGCGCACTCGAGAAATAAATACTAAACTCGACGCCTGGGCTATCAATGACCATGTTGCGAGCCAGGGAGATGCCAGGCAAACCCGAAACGCCACACGAGCTGCAATAAGCAAACTCATGCAGAGAACCCCAGCCAGGGAGACAACACAACGACACCAGGAGCTACGACCAGGACGAGGACGAGGGCGAGGGAGGGGAGTAGACAGCGTGGTTGTCACAAACGGTTGTCGCGTACAAACGCTGCCAAAAACCCTGGTCACTGCCAGATGCCCATGCACTCAGAAATTCCCCACGAGCGCAGCTCGGCTTGGAGCGAATCAAGCAAAATATCCTGGTAGCAAGTGGTGGAGAAGCGGCAGCGGCGGCAGCGGCGGTGAGAGGGGAGGAGGGAAAACGGCAAGACGGGGGGGACGAAGAGGAGGGGCGGAGGGGAAGAAGGATCACCCACGCCGAGTGCCGCACGACCATGTGTGCCGCCCAGCTGGCCTGGCCAAACTGGCACCGAGTTTGAACGAGACGGGGGAGGATGGAAGAACAAGCAAACAGAAACCGCCGCCTGAGAGTCTGTCCAGATCAGGAACTCGAGCACGGGGGCGAGCGAGGACGAGACAGGCAGAGGAGGAGAAGGGCAGGCCAACCCCAGCGAGGTTAAACGGCGCTCCGCCCGTGGGAAGCGAGGGAGAGGAAAGAGACGCGGGGGGAAGGGCAGCTTCACTCGGCTGCTGGGTGCAGCGTGTCCAGCAGGTCATCGGCCACACGGCCGTGACCACGGATAGAAAGGCGCCGATGCCGAAGTTGACCACCCAAGAGATGCATTCTACAGGCCCGCTGCCCCACGACCGACCCGCCCAGAGCGGCCGCGCCGAAGAGGGGGGAGAAACTAGAACCTGGCGGCGGCCACCCTGACCGCGGCTGGTCTAGGGGAACAAAAAGTGGCATAAACATAAAAAACTCGGAGGCCCGCGAGGATTTCCTCGGATCGGCGCTGAACCCCCCTCCCTGGCGCGCGGAGCGCGCCAGGGGCGGCGCCAGAGGCGCTGCCGGGGGGCCCCAGCGCCGATCCGAGATATCCGCGCGGACCTCCGAGTTTTTATGCTTAGGTCACGTTTTGTTCCCCTACGGTCTCTGCCCAAAAGGCGGGCGAACGCTGGGAGGCAGCCATAGCAGGAGGCGAGCGGGTCACGGCTCTCGCACGAGCGTGTCACGGCCACGGAGGACAGCCGGGGCGGCTTCGACGGGCGTGTGTGCCGGCAGCCACCCTGAGGAGCTGCTGGTGGCGGTAGCCGACCCAGCCAGCGCCAGGCCAGGAAGGGACTCGCGCGGTGGCAGGAGCCTCTGCCTGGAAGCCTCTTGCTGTGTGAAGTCGGGGCCTCCCACCAGAAGTAGATCCTCCTCCAGGTGCTCCTCAGAGGTGCTTGCACAGAGCTCTGCAGGCTAGGTGCAGGTCCGTCATGCGCCGTAGCGGGCCCACGGTTCCCAGCTCTGGTTCCCGAGCGGCGCCGTTCGGATCCACTCCCGAGCCCGCGGGGCAGGCGCACTCAGCACCTGTCCGCTGACCGCTTTTTCCCCTCCTCCCTCCTCCTCCTCTCCTCCTCCTCCCTCATCCTCCTCCTCCTCCTCCTC